CCCATATGGGCGCACCATGTAGAGAAGCATGGGGGACCCCCGTGTTGGGCGCGGTCCCAACAGGAAAAAGTGGAAAAACTCCCCCTCTCAAAATTAACCCGGGGATGCGCCCCCACCCGGGGAAAGGTCCCTCCTTAGTGGTTATTTATTTTCAGCAGAACACGTCCCAGTGGACCGGGGGGTAACCGCAAACACCACCAAACACGCACCCACCCCATATGGCGCCCCGTGTGCGCAGTTCTTACAGGAGGTCTTGACGAACAATTGGAGATGTCCTCCTACGCTGTGATGAGCCTGGTCAGCTTTGCTTGGCTGAAAGGACTGGGGCAGATCGCCTGCACAACCCGGTGGCCAGTGGTGTTATGTGAGGGTCGTGCATGAGCAGAGAAACAACGCATCGGCCCGACACTGGCATCAGCATGCACGCCCACGGGGAAAGTGAACGAACAAACAAGCAAGCAAGCAAAAATACATAGAAACAAACACACATATGCATACACACACAGGAGCGCATGTTCATTCACGTGAACAACAGCTCAACGAACCAGGCTGTAGTTTGGTCGGAGTCACGTCGACAGAGGCAACCGAGCTTCGGCCACCCACCATCTTCTCGCGGATGCGCGGGTTTGGTGCCTGATGTTGACATTCCTCTTGAGCTTGCTGCCGCCGCCGCCGCTGCCGCCGCCGCCGCTGCTGTTGTTGTTGTTGTTGTTGTTGTTGTTGTTGTTGTTGTTGTTGTTGTTGTTGTTGTTGTTGTTGTTGAGGCACCTGTGGTTGTTGTTGTTGTTGTTGTTGTTGTTGTTGTTGTTGTTGTTGTTGTTGTGGCACCTGCTGCTGCTGCGTGATGTTGTTGTTGAGGCACTTGTTGTAGATGTAGTTGTTGTTGTTGTTGTTGTTGAGGCACCCTGCACCTGTGGTTGTTGTTGTTGTTGTTGTTGTTGTTGTTGTTGTTGTTGTTGTTGTTGTTGTTGTTGTTGTTGTTGTTGTTGTTGTTGTTGTTGTTGAGGCGCCTCTTGTTGTTGTTGTTGAGGCACCTCTTGTTGTTGTTGTTGAGGCACCTGTTGTTGTTGTTGTTTGTTCTCTGGTTCCTGCTCATCTGCTTGATGTTTTGAGGGCTTGCTGCTCGTGGGTGCCATCAGTGACTGCAGAAGGGAGACAGCGAGTGGCGCACCTGGTCGTAGAAACACACCCCAACAGGTTGGACGATGAGTGTTCGTTGATCCACCTGAACAACGCGCTGGAGAAGTAGGCAAGGTACATGTGGCAAAGTGGGCAAGCTACACACCATCATTTCGCTGCCTCAAGGCCTCGCCGCGAGGTTGGAGCTGCTGTTCCTTGAAAACTGGCTCCGTTCGCTGGGCACCTTGCACTTGAGGTTGCGAGTGACAAGCGGAAGAAGCAACGTCAGGACATGTGTGTGTGCGTGTGTGTGTGTGTGTGTGTGTGTGTGTGCGTGTGCGTGTGTGTGTGTGTGTGTGGGGGGGGGGTACCTGCGGGCTCCGCGTCATTTGACTCCGACTTCGGTTGCCACGCATCATCTGTATGTATGCAGAATGTACGGTCGCCGATGAGATTGTTGGTTGGTGTGTCTTGCACGTCATCCACGCGGTACATCACGCATGCACGACCGCATCACGCATACACAGAGCACATACATGCGAGTGCACGTACGAAACAGCGGTTTCCTCGCGCCCTCCCGAGTGCTTGCCGCCTTCTTGCCTCCCCTGCGGCCGCGCACAGGGAACAGCCGCAGTCTCGACGGGGCCAGTGTCTTCACTCTTTTCCGGGGGTGTTCCTGCTTGATGCCCGCTTGTCGACATCGCTTCTGCCCGTCGGCAATGATGGAGATCCTGTCCGTGAGGCGGTCGATGAGAGTGCAAATGTCCTCAAGGTCAACGACAATCCCCGAGGGGTATTCTGTGATTTTGTCCAGCTGCCGCGACATCGTGCGCATGAGCTGTTTCACGCGATCTTTGGTTCGTCCTGTTCGGCAAGCAATGCACGGATGATCGTGTGAGTACGCAGGAGTGGATATGTGTGTGTGTGTGTGTGTGCGTGTGTGTGTCTGTCTGCCCGAGCGTGTGCGCATCTCTTTCTCTCTCAACTCACTCACTAGCACATACACACACACACACTCGCTCTCTGTCACCCTCTGTCACTCTCTGTCACTCAGTCACTCTGTGTCAGCGCGCACGCGCGCGAGTACGCTCGTGTACACGTGCATGATATCCTGTTTCACCTGTGTGCCGGCTTGGTTTGTGTTCTGGCGTTGGGGCAGCGACGGGAAATGATGTGGCTCGGTCGGTGCTGCCCGTCGTGTGAA